GTTCTCAAACTGGGGTATTTGAACCCCCAAAGGTTTGACAGTAATCGTAAAGGAATCGCGACAAGATTGACCGTATGACAGGTGACTGGCGTTACAGTGTGGCACAATATGTGACCAAAAACAAAAGCAGAACAACGCCACATTTCCTAAACGGTGAGAGCGTTTTCATTCTTTTCATTAATTTTTAAAATACTTTTTTTTAGTAATATTACTTATGTATTCTGTGATATTACCTACAAGTTTTTGTAACTTAATCGGTTTGCAGGCTTCTAGAAAATTTTACAGATTATAAGTTTGAGAAACTCAAGTGTTGATCGACGCTGGGTTGGGCCTTGTACTTACAGTTTGATTGATAGATGAATGGTAAAGCCTGTCTATGAAACGTCAACAGGTTTCTTAACAAGTACCTAAGAATAGCTTGTAAATAAATAATGTACAGTAGACGGTACATAAACCTGTCGCCAGATGACGACCTCTCCAATGGAACTTGAACTCAGTGAGTTAACATTTAAGATGAAAAATCAATTGCGGTTTGTTATTTGTCAAGGGTGATCTGCTTGATTACGACAACTAATAAGTAATGAAGTTGGTTGATACTAATTGCGAGAGCTAACCTTTATTTCAGAACTAGCGGCCGCCCGCGACTTCGTACGCGTGGATCCCGTTTTACCCCCTTCATCTATCTTACGCGGTTTAGATTTTTTCATACAAATGTTTTTTCCCGCTAACTCCCGTCCCCTTGGGAATTTTGCAATATCCTGTTCTAACTAAGCTTTAAGTTTACCAAGGTAACCTACATGCCAAATTTCAAGCGTCTAACTTAAGCGGTTTAGATTTTTCATACTAAAGGATTTTCCCGCTAATTCCTGTTCCCGTGGGAATTCCTAAGTATACTATAACCTGCCCAGGAGTATGAAGAATAATTGTACCAAGTTTCGTATATATCCGTCGAGTAGTTTTTGTTTCTATAAGGAACATACAGACGGACAGACAGACAGACAGACAGACAAAAAATTTACTGATTGCATTTTTGGCATCAGTATCGATCACTTATCACCCCCTGATAGTTATTTTGAAAATATATTTCATGTACAGAATTGACCTCTCTACAGATTTATTATAAGTATAGAAGATATTTGCTATTGTCCCAGGCACTGGTAGTAGGTATTTCTATATACAAATATACGAGTATAAGTAGGTACCTACCTACTATTTAACGTTACATAAAGGACATACCTGCAATGTCAACTTAGAACAAAAGAATAAAATAGATGGTGTGGAGGTGTCATACGAGTTCTAAATAATAGAGCGTTTATGACTTAGAAGAAGTTACTTACCAGTTCACAAAACTATGTGAATAGAAACTTTATGTGACATCCTATTGAAGAATATTCTATTTCTAATATCTAGTGCAGTATCATATTAGATATCACAAAGATCCAAACATCTACTTCTAAAATAAATTAGCAAACAAAGCCAACCTCCAAAGCTCTATATTTCCCTTGCAAGCAGCGCACAATACCGTAGTTACCCAGATTACCATTATTCGTATCGTCTGCTAATCCTTCCTGCATATTTTACGCTTAGATGAAAATTAAATACTCCTAATACTCAGCGAAAACGCATGTTCGTTCTCAAGACGCTGCTGTTATCTTTGAATTAGTTACGGATAGGATTAGCGACGAATTTGAATCGAGTTCAACAGAGCCGTAGGACAGGGAGGACGGCCAGGCAATATAGGTACTATAGGTGTACCAGAATCTCATGGCAAACAAAAATATTGGAAAAGTGTGTTTTTCATATGGCAATTGTCTATGGTTTAATTGTCACCTGTCAAAGAAAATTATGAAATCTGTCAGTCGCTGCAAAAATTTTGTAATCTCTTCTTGACTATTTGTTATTTTTGTGAAAAAGTAGAAAAAGCTCAAACAAGTCATATTGTTTTCAATGTGAATTGTAAAATAAGGCATAATTCAAAGTCAATCTTTGATTCTAAACGCGCCGACGAGTTGACAGTGAGTTGGACTGAAATGTTTGATACATTTAGCTTATTACCCAACTGCGTCAGAAGGAGGGTTATGTTTTTTATTCTTACTTAATAGCTGCTTTATCGATGTTTTCAGGTATATCTCACAAATTGGTGCAGAGGAATGGTCAAAATGTTATGACCATGTAAAGAAAATTGAAAAAGATTTCATCAAGCAAGATTGAATAATGGAGAAGTTTCCAATTTTTTTCTTTTAAATAAACTTCAAATGAATATAAGTAAAACTAATAATAATTGTGAAAGAATCATGAAAATATATTTTATATACAAATAAATAAGTTACAGGGCCCTAAAGTTGCGCATAACTATTCACGCCGTTTTGATAGGTGTATTCACGCACGACAGTCATTCGGGGTACAAACAGTAAATCACCCCTGATCCAGTGCTGTTGACAGATCCATATTTTTTAAATCTATTTCTATTTTTTTAAGTCACTCAAGATTCTTTCTTAGTAAAATTTTGTAACCTTTTTTTAAATATACCAGAGCCCCGATTACGGTAACTTTTATAACGTCTACAATCCAGACGCGTTTCTGATTCTGCGATACGATTGGTCAAAACAGCTGACGTACGCTGTTGAACGACCAATCGTATCGCAGAATCGAGAAGCGTGTCTGGATTGTTGACGTTAAAAATTACCGTAATCGGGGCTCAGACATGGCCATTTATACAAAAAGAACGGCACCGCCTGTTCCAATTCCACGCCAAAATAAGTATGTAGGTAATTTAAATAATTAATTTCCCAGACATTTCTAGATCGATTTTAAAAAAAACTTCACCGTCTTTTTGGTTTTGGTATATATTTTAATCCCATTCAGAGAAATATAGTTTTTTTTAACATCAGGAAACTTCTCCATTGAAATGTTGGAAGAACAATTTATTTACAACACATCTTTATCTTGATCATCTATTGAAGAACAAGAAATGCAAGTGGAGTTCTTAGAATCGTTTTCTAGTTCTGAATGAAGTGATAAGTTAAAAGTATGGTGCATAATAAAATTAGTTACTTTAAGTAATATACGATTTATTTATAACAACATTCTTCATACACATACCTACCTAAAATGTATATTCGAACTTCATGTTCATTAATATTAAAGTCATAAAAGTAAAAAAATAAATAGTATCAAGATCGTTTATTCCAATTTCCCCAGTATTGCTCTCAACAAAGTTTATTTTCCCTATTTGCCATGAGATTCTGGTACACCTATACCTACATTACATGTAGGTGATGTAGGTACACATTACTACACATTATAACGTTGAATGTGCATTCGTTTAGAGAAAAAAGGAACATTATAAAACGAAAAGGGCAACATACCACCTAGTGACAGGCCTGCACACACTACATACTTTTCCCTCCTGAGAACTTCTCTGCCCCAACGGCCATCAGTGTACCTACCATGAGTTTACGTTAGGTGTGCTCGCTAGCGAGTACGTCAAAAATCTCTATGAAGATTTTGTTTCTTGAAAGTAGCCACTAGGGGCGCTGCACAATATGTCATACAATTAATGTCATTTTTTTACGCAGTCGCTAGCGAGCACACCTAACGTAAACTCACAGCTCTACGAACCATATGTCCCATTGTCCCCCCACTAACATTTATTTACATAGACTGTTTTCCCTGGGCTGTGGATGGAGCCCTGTAATCCTTTGCAAGGGTGTGTGACTGTGAGATACGATCATGGAGTTTGGACCCATTATTTACTTTGGCGAAAGGTGGTATTTATGGGCTATCAGCCGGTAAGTCAGTCTGGGTTATAATGCGTACTTACACCTACTGGTTTTTACCACCTGCTTTCCTATTTTTCATAAATTAATGCTATCTAAACGTTCCTATTTATAGGGCCCATTAGAGGAAAGTGCAAACGTGTATTTGATACTAAAGAGTATCTACATAAGTACCTACTCCTTCTATAGTTTATGACAAATATTAAATAAGGATCTTTTAGAAAAAAACATAATGTAATAACTTTTATAATTGTACTTACATAACTACTTAGGCTGTTCTGTAGATAGGGCAGTAACTTGACCTATGACTTTTCTTTTCTATGTACCTATTCTTCCTTCATCACGATCAAGCACTTTTACCTACACACATAGATACACATAAAAATATTAAAAGAATAAGGAAATACGAATCTAAATTCTAGGGTTTATAATCTCTTTTTTTTATGCATAACAAGGCAGGTATTTGACCACAATCGCACATGATGTTGATGTCAATTCATTGCTACCGTATCATTGCCTAAACCAGTCTTTCCCAAAGTGGGCGATAACGCCCCCTTGTGGGCGCTGCAGGCTTAAAGAGGGGCGTTAGAGACCCAGAAAAAAAATCGGGACGTTGTGTAGAGGCTTGGGAGGCGTCATCTACTAGGAACTCTTAGACATCGACTGAGCTCGACTCTTGACTACAAAAATGGGGGGCGCTAAAAATAATTTATTCTCTAAGTGGGCAGTAGACTAAATAAGTTTGGGAACCACTGGCCTAAACCGTAGGAATCTCCAAACTGATTCAAATGGTCTTCGTAGAACTTTCGTAATTTTATTCATTCATTCTGTTAAAAAAATCTAAGATTCTGAGCTGTATCTCAGAAAACTTTATTTTCGTCCGAAGTTTTATAGTTCCTGACAATGTAAGATAAAACCTCCATCTTTTAATTTCTTTCTAACTTAAGAAAATATTCAGTCTGTAGATTTTTGATAACTAAAATCAAAGCAGTTAAATGTTTTACTGGCCATATTTTGGAAATGCCATTTTTGATCAGATTTATTGAGACAAGCCTAACGAGCGTTATTTGTTTTGTATTGCTTTTATTGTTAGTTGTTAAAGTGACTGAAATTAAGTAAACTTTACAATTCTGCATGATCATTTATTACGCGACTCAAAAAAACGCGACAAATTACGCTCGTATTCTCATGGATGGGGATGGTCATAAATAAAACAATAAGTTATTATTCATATTTTTATAAAGGTTTCATTGTATTCATCATAGGTATAGTGTCATTTGAAATATATTTGATTGCTAAATTAGTTTTGCAACTGGATAATGTGTAGTAGGCGATTACGACAACTTTATAAAGGTAAGAAAAATATTTATAAACATTTCTGAGCATGATTGTACATGTTACAAAATTAATATTCTGACAACATTTTATGAAAATTAGTAAGAAAACGGAACATAAGTATTGGGTTATTACATTGTGCATTAACTAAATAGGTAGGTAAAGTAATAAAATAAACCTAATTAAAACTTAAGTTAAAAGCTGCTAAACATAATTGTAACGCGCATATTTCGACGCAAAATAAATTGTTTAAATATGGAAAAATGGTTTTATTTCAACTATTTTTTTTTATCTCGTACGAGACGCTCGAGATACATTTAATTTAATAAAAATAGATCATTAGGTCGGCTTTGGCGAAATAACTTACGAGAATCACTTTTGTATTCCAAGATTGTTACGATTCGATCACTTTATGTTAATAAACATGTAACAGCTATTTTAAATTTTCTTGCGATGTGTGTATACCGTTTTGGTACATCTCATTAATATGAATGGTATGCAACACATCGCATAAACCAAAATAAAGGCAACAAGCGTAGAAGCGGTGATAACAAAGCCGACCCAGTTGATCTATTAAATAATTATTATGCTCTAAAATGTAAATGGTAGACATAAAGATCATACACGAGGAATCAAACATGCCTTAGGTCTGAACACGCGCCTCGTCAACCATTTCTTAGGTTCGACGAGACCGCGTGCTTGCTAAATTAATTTCCATTCAATAACAGTCAAACAAAATTGGACTAAACAACAAGGAATTTGTACTTTGGGAGATGTGATATATAGAGAATCGACTAGGTCCTCATCAAAATGAATATTAAATACTTAATAAACATTGTATTCATAATATATAATATAAGCAATATAAAACGTAACATAATCGGAAATACTAGACAATAATATAATTCTGCTAAATAACTGAAATAATTCAGGTTCATCGTCTAGTTACGTAGTGGAACAATCGATTACGAATCGATGCTTTCGACGCTGAAACCGACTGGATCGACTAGAAACGGCTCCGCTTTGCACCGGTCGCCGACGACCGTCCAGCACGTAACCGACAAGATTTATCTAACAATATTATTAATCGAATAAAAACTTCGCTAAGTTTTTGTACCGAAAAATGTATCTAGCGTCGTATTAAAATGATATGCATGCGAACAGCAACACTTTGGTTAATTAACATCACAAAACTGCACGAATGCTGCCCACGCCGTGTAACTAAAACATATAAATTATGTTCCCAACATCGAGTACCCACTACACATCCTGCTGTGGATCAGTGTTGGCCGCTTGTTCGGTTATCTGCTTTATCGATATCATATTAATAATAAATGTCACAACATCAAGCCAGTATAAAAAACACTAAGCCTACTAAAACTACTACCTGCGAACTCTTTTAAAGAGTGAACTTACAATCTAGCTTCGTAAAGTAACACAGGGCCCGCCGAGGCAGACGCAATATCATGTGATCCGTATAAAATATAACATTTTTTTTTCGCCTCCCCAGTTTTATTACAATTTTCTGAAACAACCTTATAGCTAGTCATGCTTCACCAACGTACAAAATAGACAATACAACGCTCACTATCATTACAAAATTAATAGTTTTTTAATAATCTTTAAACCGTTACAAAATGGAACTTTTCTTTTTCGTAACCACAAATATCTTACTCTTAACATTATTTGCTCCAATTCCTTATGCATCGACCGAGAATGTACAAAAATATACGTTAAAACGCATCGTAGTTTTAAAAATAATATCATTTTTTCCAATGGTATAATGTAGTTTTAATAGCAAATACTTAATTTAGAGCTTACGTTTACTTTAAGCACTTAATACTTATTTAAAAATAATTGTATTTCCCTCTGAGCTTCTCAATCTTTCTTACCTTACTTCCTTACCTTCCTAACCATCTGTATTCAGTAAATTGTAAACAAACTACAAGAGATCATCGTATAAAAAACACTTAAAAGACACGACCACACTGAATATAAGTAAACTATCATCCTGGCAGACGACCAACGCATCTGACCAAGAAAGAGGAGTAACCCAAAACATGCTATTGACTCATTCATCCGAACATACGATAGTACTTACTGACGAAAAATGCCTGTTGAGATACTTCAAAATTTAATTTTTAAAGCCGAAATTTTTAATCATCTCAAAATGGGAATAATTTAGAATTTAGATACACGGATTACTTTTAAAGCAACCGATGTCAGAGACATGATTTGGACTAGACCAATCGAAGCTTAATAAAGATGTTGTGGGCCAATTAATAGCAAAATCGAAATGCCTCAAAGCATTCAAGTAGAAAATGCATAGAAAGTTAACTTACTAGCCTAGATACACAATGACCTTAACTTTGAACGCCTAGTATCGAGGAGGGGTCTTACGATTTTTATTTTCCCAATACATCCACGACTGCTGCAGAACTATGCTTCCCAAAGACTGCTCCTCAACACTCGACAGACAAACAGTCTTACACAATATCTATTATCGCTGTGATACACGTACGAGCCCGAGACTCGGTTTCGTCTTACAAAAATACTACATCTACATTTCAGTAAAAAAACGTACATTACTTGATGTTTATCGCATAGGTACGCATTACATATTATTAATAGAAAAATGTTACCGCTAAATTACTTGTTACCGTTACGAAAGTACAAAAGTTTATGTTAATACAAATTATGACACTCATACCCTGATGCACCCCACGCGTTACGTAGTAAAAATCGTTAATCTAATTGCCACGCAATAACTTAATTATTATCTTTATCCAATTCGTAAGATTATCACCAATTTTAGTTCTTAAACTTGGCTTTTGCTGGACCGTCTTACATCGTTTCTGATCGAATGTGGCTGGGTCTCGGTGACCCGTCGCACGGTTGGTGTCAGATACACATTCCCATCGCATTTGTTAGTTCGAAAGATAGTAATATTGTTTTATTAATAAATTCAGTCTATTTAAGTGAAATGGAATATTTAGATTTATCAACAGTGCTGTAACTTGAACTGGTCCGCTGCAACTAGTAAATGCGATAGAGCGCGACGTTACTACCTACACAGTAAATACGAAAGATTAATACAAACTTACTACATTAGTGTAGAAAACATCGAGTATCAAAATATAATTAACACGTTTTGATTTGCATCTTTCACTAACCAATAACAGCCGTATACTAGAATCAGCCAACGCGTTCGGTAAATTTTGAGCGTGAATTATGGACTGGGGTACAGAATGATCAATCGTTGCCTTCATTCTTTGTAGATTTAGAGTCTATTCATAAGTTCCATTGTTGCCTGCCGCTCGACAAATGGCAGCGGAGACCTTTCTCAGGCGGCTAACTTTAATTCCAAATGCATGTAAATGTATAAATCACGCCACTTATATACATTATTATTATTACACGCTATAATGCAGCGTGTAGATTTTTTAGGAGAGCCCGCCAACTCTGGCTTTAGCCATATAGGAGCTGTATTGCTGCCAATACAGAGTTGGGATCGCGTGACATGAGTTTGATGTGAATGACATGACATTTCCAAACATTTGTTTATAAGTCCGCTACCCCGACAGTCGCAATCGACATCCTTATTTAGAACAACCAACTTGGTGATTCCTACTATAACCGACATACATGAGTAGAACTCGCAGTTCAGTTAAAAATTCAGTGAAAAGTTTCGGCGAAATTTCAAACTGTCGAATGTGGTCTGGATATATGACGTAGACTCTAGTACGGCTAAAAATTTAATATTCAAAGCCGGCAGTGGTAGTGGCGTGACATCGAGTGCGCTTAGTTACTTACGTTATCACGAGAATTTTAAATTTAAATTTTCACATACCTAACACTGGACTGCTTTCGCAGTTACTATGACCAGAAATTACACGATTACAAACAACTCGTTTGGCACTTTTTGGTTGGTTTGGTTGTTTGGAGGTGCAATAATGAAACATACTAAACTTAATGTTAATTGTGATCGCAAACACTCATCCCATTCACACATTATACTTAAAGGAAACCCTACGATCCTAAATAAGAGCTACGATGGAAAAAGAGTAGATTAACCTATTTTAAAAGCGAGACACAATACCTATAGACCAAAGAATATTATGCCGATGACGTCACTTGTATAGTGTGCTTCTAAGTATGTAACTAGGAGCTTCGATAAAATACGTAAATTAATCAAATTCAAAGAACCGATACAAGATATAGCTTTCTATAATAAGTAACAATTTCCGATACTAAATTTATAACCGAATAAAAACGAAATTTCTTTACATGTAACGGAGTTTGTGCAATGTAACGCGACTGTGATACATAGGACGTTACACCAACTATTTCGTATAGATTACCTAGATCAGTGTTACCTTTAATATGTATTTGTTTTATTTTATAAAATTTGCAAAAGTAACAAATTGTTTCTTTGTACTTTTAAGCAATTCACTAAATTACATTAAAATTCAACATTAAGAAATTCGAATGTCGGTGTCTAAATAAATTGTTATTAATTACAAAAATTTAACAAATATTTGCAAATAAACTAAGAAAGTTGGCAACGTTCGTGTAATTACATTTATTAAACTGAACAAGTAACTAAGTGAGTAAAATATGAAGAATCAAACATATTCTGATAATTATAATTATTTGTTTTTGTCAGGAAGAACCAAGACTATTGCTGAGACTCGAGTCCTCTATTAATCTATACAACCTTTCAAAGCGTTTTGATAGTATTTTTACACGTAAAATAGATAGATACTTAGTAGAAAGCCAAAAAAGTTTTGTAAGAAAAAACATTACAAAAAGATTTTTTTAAACATGTACGGTTTCTTGACATACCTGCATTATTGGAGTAAACAAACTTATAGAAATTTAGTTTTTTTGTTTTTAGTAAACAATGATATTTTTAAGTTTAATATTTTGTTTAGTCTATGAATTGTACTTTAGTCAGATAAATATTGTTCTTTATGAAAGACAACAGCGTTGTTTACGGTCTGTCAAGGAACTATACCTACCTGAATGATAACTATAATTGTAATATTTGTTATAAATTTATTTGGTTTAGTGATATATTTTTTAAATATTTTTACCGTGTAAAGTTGTACTATGCAACTTAAGGATTTATAATATTCTAATACCGGAATTTACTTTAGGAGCCACAATGATTTATTTACTATATTTTACTATCTTCTTTAATATTGAAAATTCTATAATAAATAAACATCCTTGGTGAGTCGGCGGACTGATATAGTTTCCAAAATAGTTATTATTTTCAGTTTGTACCGGATAGAGGGTTCAGACGACTCTAGCGTCATTTAAACGAGTAATATGATAAATCTAAGTAGATGGCTCTGTATTGACTATTAAACAATATGACTTTATACTTTATGTCACTATAAGGTCGGAACTCCGATGACTCTTCACTCCACATTTGTACATGTACACCATCAGATGATCTGGATTTTTTAATATTTTCCTAAATATACCAACAACAGCTCGTTAATTTTTTTTTTTTTTCAAATACTTTATAGAGTACATACATTTATTTGAATGTACTTTTTTTATTAAACATTTAAATATAATTCTATATTCGAACGAGCAAACTTCGATAAAATTAAAATTGAATAACATATGAAGGGTCATCGTGATTCCGCCGGTTTGTTAAAATAATTAGGGATTCTTTGATATTGTTGAAATTATGTACTATCGATTTTATGGCTAATCTAGAATATGCAATATATCTTTAAACATCTTTTGTAAGCATCCGTGGAGGACTAACGGCATATTTACAATACTATGACGCCACGCTATGTTAGGTAGATAATCTCGTCTTAATTTACTTTGAAGCGAAGGATACTAATATAAAATGTAAGAGGTATTACAACCACTCATGACGACTGGCAACTGTGACCCGATGATTCAAAATAGTGCATATCTAAAATTTATACAAATCTCTCTATAGTAAATAGTTTTGGGCATATACTTTCGAAATATGATTTATTTTTAATGTTAAATTGTTAAAATTACAATGATACACATCTAGTTGCTCTCTGAACTTTCACCAACTCACAAATGAACTTCAATAAATTGAACAGTAAAATAAGAAATTTACTTTATTTAAATAAATATTTTATTTGCATGTACCGAGGTACTTCTTGAAATACATTTGATGTGCGTTCTTTAAAAATCATAAAAAATATGAAAAAAAAACCGAAAACTGCATAAAATATAGTTCATTTTTGATCCATGATATTTATTTTTAAAGTGAATCAGGTTCGTGATACGGCGTGAAGTAACTATGATACGTATCAATGTCTAAGTGCATCATAACCTGGCCACAGGAGTCAGTCGCCGCCTCACACACAGTGCGATGAGGATGACGATGAGTTGCAGTGATGCGGATGATGGCGTGATGTTAGCGAGTGTTGCCAGCGCTGAAAAACTATTACCAGCCTGTTGCCCGATGAAAAAATCTTTATTGGGTCGTTACAACTCTAGGTTGCGCGGCAACTGGCTGGAAAGCATTTATTACGGTTAATAACACTAAGGCCGTGCGCTGAGTGAAAAAAAAAACACAAATACAAAGCACCGCTGCTTCTGTCAAACGGCACGCATATCGATAAAAAATGTTAGGAGCCCATCACTATAGGATCATCGGGACACTAACAGCAGCACACGGCCTAAGTCTAGTTCAAACGCCTGGCAACCCCAAAATGTAGCGATGACGATGATGTTCTACGTACTACACAACAGATCCGATATCGTACTAGCTAAAAACATGACGTATTCAGTCCGAGTGAACTGGGATTCGGTACTGGGTGTGTTTGCTGAATACTTACATCACTGGCTGCAAAAAAAAAAAACAATAATTCTTGTAAACAAAAAAGTTAAAAATAGAAACAATAAAAAACAACTGACGGTCAGAAATTTAAATTTTAAACCAACGAGCGAGGCTGTTCTTAAAAAACAAAAGAAAAACAAAGCAACAACACCGAGCACGCAAATCCCAAAATTTAGTAAAATGGCAGTACGATTAGAAGGACAATGCAAAATTTTTACCTATAAAAGTGTCAAGTCTTGATAAGAATTATTGCCTAAATAGCGAAACGTCCGCCTGTATCACGATTCGTCCTGTACGCGCCTAGCAATCCGCACCACTTTATATCACTACACACTCACTAAACTAACTTTATCACTTGTAATCACTTTGCGAGTAATAGTATCAATGTATAAAAACCTTACCTAAAATGTTAACATTAAACAGTTAAGAGTAAACGTGCACATCACTTAAACGCTCGTAAGTCAAGCGCTATCCACTTATAAATAAATAGACATCCATGATAATTATAGAAAACCCTTAAACCTAAACCTATAGAGTTAGCCAAACACTTTGAAGAATTCAACAAAAATGAAAATCCTCTTCAAACTAAAACAGAAACTCTCAATGATTAGTGGTGTTCATAAATTTTGATAATTTCCACCACAAAACAAAAACAATCATCATGTCTGATATGGCACAATTTAGAAACACTATTATAACTCGATTTCAATAAATACTCTTTTAAAAACGACCCGCTAATCACTGAGATACAAATAAATTATAGAAAGAAACAAAAAGTAACAATTTACAAGACAAACCTTACAATAACTGTAAAAGTTATATAGACAAGCTAATCATATTATTGGTGACACAGCAATGACTTACAATTAAAATCCTCTACCATTATTACTGCTGATTAAATTATAAGTAAGTTAATGAAATGATATTAGAGATAATAAACTAACATGGCTTCTTCGAGTTATACAACCAAAGTGCCATTTGGTGGGAGGAAATAAAAGTTCGCAATAAACCTACGAAAATATTGTATAACACTTAAGTTAGGTTTAAAATTTTGCTAAAATAAAACATAACTAATAAACTAAATTGAACTAAACAACACACACCCTAAACGTCCCTATCACATAGGGTCATCAGTATCACTGAATTGAAAGGTAATCAATAATTTAAAAACACGCCTTTGCAAGACCTTCAAAAGGAAAACATCCCGGGTAAGACTCGAACCGAAAAACAAAAAATGCAATCCCTGGCATCACTATATCGCTAATTTATTATTTCCGATAAAAATCAACATCTAATCAACAAAGTGCAGAATAAAATTAAAATAAAATCAATAGTACGTTCTAAACCGACACATAAAATTATTTTCAATAATACCAACTTAATTTAACAGAAATTATTACTAGTCATCGAACGCACGTAAAGTTCGAGGAGTAAAAAAGTTCGAGGGCACCAGTCACCACCGTTTACGCGATTTGGTTCAGGTAGTCCATGAAGTCGTTGGAGAAGAGCTGGAGAGAGGGTTCCTCGAGGGGGGCGCGGCGGACGGCGCCGCAGCCCAGGGGCGGCCGCTCGACCGGCTTGGGCCGAAGCGAGGCGAGGTACCGCTCGGCCAAGGACTCACCGAGACTCATCGCGAGGGTTTCGGGGCTGAGCCCGAGGAGGGAGAGCGACTCGGTGATGCTGGCGAGGGTCGGCGCGAGGTATTTGGTTGCGGGCTCTTCGGCGGCCGGCTCGGGGGCTCGGGAGGCCATGCTCGTGTTGACGACGGGACGTAGGGCGGGGGGTGAGGCGCGGCGGGGCGGGGACGGCGCCACAGTCCAGGGGTCGCTGGCAGGGGGGGTGCCGGGGGAGGTCCCCGGCACCGCCGACTGTTATGGCCACTGCTGGAAGAGCGGGAACGCCCGTTTGGTGAAGCAGTAGGTCAGCGGCTTGACGAAGTGCGTGTCGAGCACGCGGCAGTGCGGGCACGTGACCGGGTGCGAGTAGTCCGAGTAGTTGAGCCGCTGCTGCGGGTGCAGGAGGGGCTTGTAGCAGCTGTTGCACTGTAGAAAGAGAACACACGTTTAGAAAATAATGAAGTGATACACGCTAAAAGGTCTTTAACTTCATCTCGAGACATCTATGGTTTTATCGTCCAGTCATTTTTATTCCGATCGACCAGCAGATCAAGCAGATCAAGCGCCGCAAGTGGAACTGGATTGGCCACACTCTCCGAAGGGACCCCGATCACATCCCTAAGCAGGCTCTGGATTGGAATCCCCAAGGAAAACGCAAACGTGGTCGACCCAGGCAAACTTGGCGGCGCACTGTAGCGGACGAGGCGAAGAAGATCGGCAAGACCTGGATCGAGATCAAGCGAGAAGCTCAAGACCGAACGAGATGGAGGACTGTTGTGGACGCCCTCTGCCCCATCTAGGGGACCTATGTCCCCTAGATGGGGCAGAGGGCGTCCATGCAGCCGAAGTGATTGACTTATGGTCCTATGACCATAAGTCAATCACTTCGGCTGCATTCGGTCAGGAATATCTTACGTCCTACGTCTTTAGCTTAAATAAGAAGAAAAAGTATACATACCTTCAGTCGCTCCGCGCAGCAGGGCGTGGCCATAAAGATGTCATACGAGTACATGGTTCCCAGCACCAGCGACGCTCCTTCCCACTTCTGGCCGCAGAACCGGCAGCGGATCGTGCGCTCTGGGTCGCAGCGCTCCAGGCAGCCCATGCAGACGCAAGTTAGGTACTGCGTGCGACCTTCCACTTTCACCTAAAGAAAATAAGGGCTGTAGTTGTATGTACATTTGTACAAAGCACGCGACAAAGGAGAAGATTTTTTGAGAATAGTGCGCTCTGGGTCGTACTCGTAACGCTCTAGAAAGGATATGCAGACGCAGGTCAGGTACTGCGTGCGACCTTCCACTTTCACCTAAAGAAAATAGGGGCTGTAGTTGCATGTACATTTGTACAAAGCACGCGACAAAGAAGAATTTTTGAGAATAATCGCAGTTCTCCAGGGAATACTGCGTGCAACCTTCCACTTTCACCAAAAGAAAATAGGGGTTGTAGTTGCACGCAAGGTTAGTAGTTAGCACGCAAATTGGTTAAGCAAACTTTTTGTGGTTACTAGGTTGTATCGTGTATAATCGCCTGATCAGAAATTGGTAATGATTTTTGGGATTGGGATTTAACTTCAAAGCAGTAATGATCTGGTGCAGCACAATAGCTACATAAATACAACCTATCTATCATAGTCTTGGCAAAAGTTATACGTTACGCGGATAGATAAAATTTGAGGTTTATACGCTTTCTTCTAAATTGCCCTTTACTAATGATCGAAAACCTTAGTTTGAGATAATTGAGCAAACCTGTTACAATCCTAACGAACTCTGAGAAATCAGAGTAAAGTTACAGACTACACAAAAGAGCATAAACCCCAAATCCTTATAAAAGGACGAATTGTTTAACCACCCAGAGGTAATTTTGGAGGAAGTGGTGACTAAGCAAAAAATGTTCTTTCAAATTAAAAGCCACATTTCGACTCGGCTCCGCTAAAAAGGACACTTAGCGCGGACCGAGTCCTCAAAAATTAACATCATTCGAGTTAAAGCGTTGCAACGGTTGAGCTTATTTGTGATTGCTTAAAAGGATTTTCGGAAGGAAAGTTTAAAGGAAAGCGTATAAAGGAATCCCAGGAGATGCGTGGTAATTCTAACGCCAAACATTCGAATATCCAGAAAGATCCTAATTCTCTGAGCAAACATCACCGGTCGACACGTTCGATATGTTCGACTCTCTCACACGTATTGGAATGCCGGCAGAAGACAGAGAGCGACTGTTGTTGATTAGATTTAAGAATGTATGCAGAATATACCCCTTATTTTGAATATAACGGTATTCGGCAGGGCGCAATGTCTAAATTTAAGAATTTTATGACGGTGCTATATTCACAAATACTCAAGTATTATTATATAAGAACCTATTGCATGTTACATGTAACCGTGTGACGTTGTTTATTTAGAAATGTTTATTGGAAGAACGGAAGAACTTTTCAAAACAGAAGTAAAATACAAGAAGACGTATTCACCATACCAGTAATCTGATCAACACCCCAAGAACAATCGTATAAGTAGCGAGGGGACGTTACACAAACCGTACCTTATTTAAGTTTCAAAGGACTTTGCGATTCCTTCAAAATGTCAATCTCGTTCATAAATAAACCTACAGAAAATCAACATCCAATTTAACGTTCCTCCATTGTTTGTTTAAGAACATAAATTGTAATTAGACATCCGCTTCTTCCTTGTCGTACTGTAGACATTGTTAGGAGTCAATAAAGAATTGAATATAGATAACGATCTGTTTTCCAAGCAGGTTCGTAAACGCAATCAATTTAGTGTTTAATTTTGATCATCAACTGATACAGCTTTTATGATATTGATACAGAATAAATTATATTCAAGACTGGCTATAATGAATCTAAATAACGTACCCCAGATTGTAAAGGAATTTGCGAAAAGGATCATTAAAATAAAACTCCGCTCTAGTTCTCGAGTCTAAGCTAGTGGCACTTTAGTTTCAGCTGATCCTTAATAAAAACTTTTTAAATAATAACGATATAGAGTTTCTTTCTGTGTAGACAAACGTCATTTTTCATTAGACCGCAAAACAGATTTCGATTTCACTTCGCCGCAAAGTACAGTTCGCCAATTAAACAAGACAGTATGAGGTTGGTTCATCTATGTCTTCGAAGCATTCTAGTTATAGTACGTATTGTTATCGCTGTCTAAAGAAGGGATTCTGAATCTTTTCGTTTTCGGAATAGACATATTGACATCACCAATCAATTGACGTACTTTTTAAAAATGTCAAAACGAAACTCTCCCATAGATTTAGTATGGCACTATTGGCAAGTGACGTCATTATTTTGTCAACTCAATTAAACTACTTTTTTCAATTACAATGCGACCAAAAATCGTAATTTACAGGTAATTTAAAATTAATTAAGTTTTTAAGCCCAGAATGAAGTGTCTTTTTAGACTTTTCTAATTGTTTTGATTTCGAATTATTGAGGAATGGTGTCAAATTGTCTATTTCCATCTGACAGGTGTGGACAAAAAAGAATTCTTTTCGAAAAAACATTTTTACTACCAAGTGACACTAATACAGATTGGCTGATTAATACGTTTTGGTAAAAATATTCTTCCAGCTCGTGGTCGCCACTCAAGAACTTTCCTGCCCCAGCGGCCATCAGCTCTTCGAGCTATGTGCCCCGCCCACTGCCACTTGATTTTAGCGATTCTGCGGGCTAGCCTCCCACTAGGTGGACCGACGATCTGGTGAAGGTCGGCGGGAAGTACCTGGATGCAAGCGGCGCAGGACCGGTCTTTGTGGAAATCCTTGGGGGAGGCCTTTGTCCAGCAGTGGACGTCTTTCGGCTGAAACGAACGAACGAACGAAAAATATTCTAACTTCAGAGTAAGAAACCGAAATGTGTAATGTTTAGGGAACGTTATTGAGCCCGACACTGAAAAACCTTGGTATTTCGCGAATGCTACACGACGCCCGTGAGTCACGCTCATTGTTATGCAAACATGCATCGTATGATACGCGATTAGTTACCCACATGACTAGAGGTTGATGCTCATTAAATTCTATGATCTAGACCAGGGTTTCCCAATTTTTTTTTGCCAAGGAACCCTAATTGATTATACTTTTCCTAGCGGAACCCCCGTACTACTCCGCCCGCACGCCCTGCCCCTCCCTTGTGCGTAAACAAGTCGGTGCGAGCGAACAACGTCGGTCACGAAACGTGGGATAATATTTTTTACGGAACCCTTGCGGCCTTTCCATGGAACCCCAGGGTTCCGCGGACCACCATTCGGGAACCCCTGATCTAGACCGATTGGTGGAAGTGCTAGTCTCTGGGCTATTGATAACTTAGCTAGGCTAGGATTAGTGGCTTACGTAAAACATTTTGAAAACTTCAAATGGGATCTGCTTAGTTTACATCCTAGACATTGATTTCCAGACCAATAGCATAAGTTTAGTTGACACCTCTAGTCAACTGACATCCTGCTTTTTACAAGCTCCCGAAATGCTTTCCATAGATTTTTTATGGATAGGGAATTTATTTATTGCTTTTAGATCAGCTTGATGAAGTGCTGTTTTACCCGACTGCGCCAGAAGGAGGGTTTGTTTTTGTAAGAGGTAGTCATCATCATCAGGTAATTTAAAATCTCCACTGCAGGAGAAGTACGATCCTCTCTAATTTACCAAAGGCTTCACCTCCATAGGTTAAAGGTAAGGCAGAAAGGTAGTCATGATATTATGCTATTCATGGGTTTAAAAAATGAGTTTTACCTCAACGGCACTGCTGGTGTGTTGTCTCGGGCTCAGGAAGAAGGTGCCATCGACCAGGGGATACCGGTCGAAGACGTGGAGCGTGTCTTTGCAGAGCGCGCAGGAGACGCGCGGCTTGTGCTGCCCTGCCAAGGTCGAGAGGATGAAGAGCCGCGTGTCGTCATTGCCGTGGTTACCCTCGTCCTCAATCTGGAACAACAGAAAGTACCGTTAATGATGGTCTTAAGATTCGTTGCTTTACCGTGAGTTCATAAAATCTTCACTAATAAATCCACCCTTACTAATATTACAAATGCGAAAGTATCTGTATGTCTGTTATGGCTTCACGCTTAATCCACTGATCCAATTTTGACCAGTAGGCCTAAGATGCGCGCCGTGATAACTTTTATCGACGCCAAAATGTATGGGCAAAATCGATAAAATGGCGTGATAACCGCTTATCGTGGCGCGCATCTTAGGCCTACAGGCAGAGATAGTTTTGAGACAAAGAAAAATATAGTTTTTGTCACTGTTTTAGAAAGGATGTTTCTTTCTGTGGCAGACCGAAATGCTCGTGGCTAAACCGCGGGAATAACATAGTCAAATGTTTAATTGTTTTGCTTGACGTGAACGTAGAGTTCATAAAACACAGTAAATTACCTATAAACATCTTCTGTTTAATTGAAATATATGCAGAGTATTGCACGGAGAAAGCTATTAGAAATGATTAGTCATAAAGGTCTTCATAATTTTCCCATTGAAACAAAAGGTCGACCCCATTCTCCGCAAGTAGACGTTATTGTAAAACCACGCTCGCAATTTCAATATTTCATATCCCCACATTTACATATTACGATTAATGCATCCACCCACGACACTTACCGCAGCAACTCTCCCTTCGTAATAACGCAAGTAAATGACTGCATAAAGTTGAATAATGAAAGGCTGAAAGGCAATTACGCTGAATTCGGAGTCGAAGTCAAACAAAGGATCACGAGCGCCGCAGAGATCGATTGTGAGCACAATTCGTTCACGTACGAGCAATTTGCGAGCGAATAATAATGAAAGTTTAACGAGTCACGCTGCAGCGTAGGCTCCATCCACAACTTAATTAAACATATTATCAACTGTCAAAGCCCAACGCCTATACACATTCCCCAACCGAACTGGTTACTTTGCCGATTGTTCCTCATTTGGCAATATCAGACCCACTCCTATTGTTCAAAACACAAGCCGTTTCATTATGAACATTCGCAGTTGATTGCCTTCATGAAACAGAATGCAAACTCGTAAGCAAGGAACTTGTGCATGCCAATGTGCATACATTGATGTTAAGCATTCCTATCTATTATTAGAGTGACGTCGTGACACCAGGAACACATAAAACGTACTCGCCGAGAGCGTTGACCTACGCAAACAAACTCAGTATGATTTGCAGTATAGTGCAGTGCAGTTTGCCAAGAGACGAGCGGGCGGCGCGCGGGGTCGGGCCATCCGGCATAGCAAACACTGCAGCGATATCTTGCTTCCCAACTCTAACATAAACGTCTATTCCGGTTATGTTACACCGTGTAAATATTAGGGTTCAAGTGTTGAACGTGTCTCCCGTTTCGTAATTTGCAATCATCAGTCGTGTCGCCAGTTTGTGGAGTGATAAATATCTGCCTGGTTCCGTCTGCAAGCAGATGATTGATTCTGCCCGCCAACACATGCTCGCCCGACATTCGCGCTCGTACATTATGATTGATAGTGCCAAATCGCGAACGCTTGAAAAATGAGAGACAAAAGCTCGGTTAATGGAACGTCTATGAATTAGGGAGTTAATTAAAACAGCAGAGTCATCGCCTTAGGACTAATGGGTGACAATTAAATTGTTAAGTGTCGCGCTCACGAAAGTTTAGTTAGGTTGCAGGTTGCGGGCGACGACCCGTAAGCGGAGCTGCAGCTTGCACAATTTACTTTTGTGCTGCAAGATTGATGAGCACCCCGACGCAGACTATTTATTTACTCAATCCGATCACGCTTTGTCTCGCAATCGTCGCCTTTTACAGTTGTCTGCGATGACTGGGCGAGGCAGTAAACCGTCACATAAACTTTCTGACGACTGGAGGTAGGGCCATTACGCGCTGAGTACATAACAGCGGCCGCAGTCGTACGAACAGGGCAGAAAGCGATTCGGTCTGGTCTGGAGTCAGTTAACACGCGCAGTCTGGGCTATTTAACTGGAGTAGACGATCGTAGCTTCCTCTAATTACGTCTGAATTTACATAGTGCGGGAAACTTGGCAGCCGGTAAACTCGCTCTCAATGGTGTCGAAATGTAGTCGTCGTTACAGCCTCGCCGCCGCTTCCGCGGGCGCACTTTGGAGAATCTTTAAAGTTAAATCGAAGCGTCTGGAGCACATATTGAAGTAAAGGATGATGAGTAAAGTTACATCTCGTCGCTGAACAAATTTAATCGCGGTTCTCTTGTTTCGTTCCAACAAGTGCTAGGAGTGTTCAGTTGAACGAGGTGCCGAGAGGGATGGAGTGCGTTTCAAGCGCCGCTCTCGGCGTGCGGCAGAACGAACGTACACACATTAAAACTTTCCGAATTGGAGGTGACGCGATAATTAAAGAGCGCATGGGGCGGCAGCGGGCCTGTGGGCACCCCACCGCTGCGCTTTTGCAGCCCCGCCCGGGAACGGAAGTGATTAAAACAAAACATAATTAAACAATCACCTGCAGTGTTAGCACCGTACATCCAATTCATCATCCGATATTGATCTTAACTATCAAATATGCGCTTGAACAAGTTTTTAATTGAACGTAATTTATTGTTAACGTCAAAATATTTAATATACAAAGTAATAATGTTAGTTTCGTTTTTGTATTCAGTTAATTCACAAATATCTTTTCTCGACGTCAAAATCGAAAAGTAGATACTCGTACGTTCCTCGCCTCGCGTCTTTTGTTTGTGTTTTCCCTTAATAAACAGCTAAAAGTTATTCATGTTACATTGTCAACGTTGTGTCGCCATTGTTCTGTGTGCGAGTATCTATCTAGCAAAATGTTTGCAAACGGGTGTTTCAACATAAAATAACAGCCATAGCCGGCCGGAGGTTGAATAACGGCTATAAATCTGGATTGTTCCCTGGGGTGGCTTATTTTTAATTAGCCAAATGAAACTTTTCCTATTATATTTCGCCGACGTCGGCACTACCCGCAACTAAGCATAGCGCAAAAATTAAATGCGAAGCGAGGCAGAGTCGCGGGAAGACCGAGTGAAACGTAACCTAACCGCAAACCCAATTAGTTCAAACAAGACACCCGATACTGCGGATCAGTTGCGAATTAAATACATAATTGATTTTTCAAACGAACCGATTTTTCAACTGACGTCGAACTCCTAGCTATTTGGACGTGTTTGGAAGTTGAAACGTATGAGTCTCGAGTGGTGACGGGTGCGGAATGGCAATTTTTCATCAGGGCCATCTCAAACAATACGTTCGTCTGCAAGTGGATGGTATTTGCGGTGCTCAATACATTTATCCTGCGTTCCGCCGTGTTTGCCATTGTCTGAGAGCCCAACGTTAATACAGCGCTCTTTATATCTGAAAATGCATTCTGCAGTAATGCAATTGAACGGCTTCGGTACAATCTTATCATAGCATCTCTCTTTTCAGTAATTTCACAATAGATTTTTCAATGGAGAGCCGAGAAATAACTTGCGGAAAGAATCTCGTCGCACAGAAAAGTATAACGAACCTGCTTCACTTGCTTGGATTTCTATACACTCCGGATTACAAGTTTCCAAAGGAAATTATGGGTTTATATCATCACGGCGATTACTCACAGTGCAGCTCGTCTACTCATCAGTATTCGCCAGTCAAAGGACCCGCCGGTTTATGTAAATCTCAAGCATTTATTACGCTTGCAACTCTGAATGTCGATACTCCCAGGGAAGGGAATTCATGAAGCGAACAAATTGTTAATCTCACAAAGAGGAAAACCTCAAACACGGGCACATCGTGGTATTGAAAATATTTGGCGTACCTGCAAGATTTTATTGACAAGTTATTCATAAAATTCACGAGCACACGCTCGGTGTGAGGGTTACGGAAAAATCGAATGCCTCGGAGATATTTGTTCGCGTGAATTAGTCTCGCGTCGCGAACATTCCGCGAGTGTTCGCATCTGCTGCATGCCTTATAGAAAAGTGGAGTTTAATTCGACAATACACGAGACGGGACGACTCGCTAGTGTGAATTTACAAGAACATTTTCGAGGCACTCTGCTCAAGATGAGGTATGCAATCGTAGTTATAATTTTATTGCGCTGTCTCCAAGTACAAGGTGCTAAAGGAGCGGGCGTCTCGTCACAGAATAAAGTAAAATTCAGACTTAAATGGGTGTTAAAAATGCTGGAATAAGAATCGAGTGGGTGTGCGGGCGGTTTGATGCGATTTTGATGAGCTCGCCGTCAGATACCGAGTCGGAACGATGACATTTTTATTAAAGTTTTGTCTCACAATTCGACGTCGTTTCCGATGAACGAGATGTCGTAAATTTGTCGCAAGTAATTGATTGCATGGACCCTTCGGACAAGTCGTTTAAGGCGGAAAAAGTTGCTAAAAGAATTCTTGTAGTAGCGATGTTTCAAGTTGTGTATAGTCACAGACGAGACGGTTAGCTCTGGTACATGGAAAACTACTTATCCTAACTTCGTTTTATCGTTAGAAGTATTGTTATGTCAGTTAGAGCCATTCACGAGCGTCATTAGGGCCGCAGATAATGCGCCTCTACATGTTTTACGATAAATAGTTTTATAAAGAGAATTAGGTGTTTTATTTCTTATCGGTTCGTTGGGTACTGGTGTTGATATTGTTAGTTAAAAGAAATAAAAACTTTACTATTTATTCTAAGTTAGGATCTGTGTATCTTGGTAGTTCTTGGTAAATTCACGTAAACTACTGAATCAAACTTCATGAATTTTGGTGCTCATGGACCTAATATTGGAGAAAAAATTCTTGGATAAAATAGAGGGTTGAAGTTTGACTTATTTATCGAGATAGGTATGAAGAAAACGCTTTTACAATTATATCCTGCAAGCAAATAAATTATGTAAATAACTACAAAACATACCATTAACTATTTTATACACATCTGCACTAGGTTGGGCCTGGACCACTGATTGCGTATCAGCGTCAAGCCTTTTTGGGAAATGTCCATC